CAATCTCCCGATTGGCATCCGGGCGTCTGATTCTATTCAATCTTTTAAATCACGGCTTAAAACATATTTGTTTGAACTTGCTTTTTCTACTAGTTAAATTCTCGCCTCGCTTCTGTGAGTTATTCTATTAATGTGTCTGGTTGTTTTGCGTTGTCCTGCGCTGTCAATGTTTTCCATCACTGTGTTTGATGGTTCAGCTTTACAGCTTTACTCTGCTATAGCTCTGTGCTATAGTTTATTCTTATTAGTGGTCTTTACCTGTGAACATAATCTCACACTTATATGACTCTGACGTTATAGTGCTAATTATTTTTATTATTTTATTGTTGCGTTGTCTATGTTCTCTATCACTGTGTATGATGGTACAGTTCTACTTTGCTATAGCTGTGTGCTATAGATTATTCCTATTAGTGGTTTTTACCTGTGAACATAATCCCACACTTATATGACTCCGATGTTTTAGTGTAAATCATTTTATTGTTTTATTGTTTTATGTAAAGCACTTTGGCATGCCCCTGGCTTTTAATGTGCTCTATAAATAAAGATTGTTGTTGTTGTTGTTCTTGATGGGGGTGAGTGCTACTGGGCGGTAATCACTGAGGCTAGATGGGTTGGAGTTTTTGGGTATCGGGACGATGGAGGTGGATTTGAAGCAGGCCGGTACCACAGCGTGGGCCAAGGACAGATTGAATATGTCTGTGAGCACTCCTGCAAGCTCCCCAGAACACGCTCTGAGAACACGCCCGGGGATGCCATCAGGGCCTGCAGCCTTGTGGACATTGATCCTGCTCAGCACCGCTCCTACATCGGTGGGGGAGAGAGTCAGAGGTTGGTGGTCTGGCGTCACGTCTGCTTTGGTTGTGGTTGTGGGGTTCCCTCGCTCAAAACGAGCATAAAAGTTGTTGAGCTCGTTGAGGAAGGAGACATCAGAGGATGCGGGGGAGGGTTTGGTGGTCCTGTAGTCTGTGATGGTCTGGAGTCCTTGCCACATGCGTCGGGGGTTGGAGTTGGAGAAGTGTTCTTCTACCTTCTTTTTGTAATGGTGTTTGGCTTTTTTGATGCCCTTCTTTAGATTAGCCCTGGCTGTGCTGTAGGCGTGTGCATCTCCTGACCTGAAGGCGGTGTTGCGGGCCTTCAGGAGGAGACAAACATCCCGGTTCATCCAAGGCTTCTTAGATTATAGGTATTGCAGTAGAGGAGGATCTAGAAAAGCTCAAGCAGTTTATTCATGGTGGTGAGGTCAGCAGGGTAAAAGACTATTAAAAACAATGAATGGGAAGAGGGCTGGTAGCGTGTCAGCACTTTTGGAATTCAGGAGGCTATCCTGCCAGATAGAGTTCAAATAGGATGCATGAGCTTTCCTGTTAGAGCATATGTTCCCCTGCCCCTCGGGTGCTATAAATGTCAAAGATATGGGCACATCGCTGCAGTTTGCAAGGGGAAACACAGGTGCCCCAGGTGTGGAGGTGAACACAGGTGTGAGGAATGTGGGGATAGTGTACAGGATAAATGCAGTAACTGTGGGGGGCAGCACAGAATTATGGGCGTTGTGAAGTCAGAAAGAAGGCCATGGAGGTCAAACAAGTTAAAGTAGTTCACAACATAAGTTACACAGAGGCTGTCAACACGGTACAGAAGGCAAAGGACGAGACAGGAAAGGTTCACCCTATGTCAACATCAGATTTAGTAGAGTCCCACACACCTGGAGCTGATTCTGGGTAATCAGTTTGAGGATTTAAGCTCTGCGTTGACTCTCCTTCACCGCCAGTTTGTCAGCTACCTCAAGTTGGTAATTGGCTCCATGTTCCATGCTATTGGCTCTTTGTACTTCACTTAAGTTGTTGTCCTGTGCCACCACTCACCTGGACTCTCCACGCCACTTACCTTCAGCTGCAGCTTCTCTAGGACAATCTCTCCAGTCTGGAAACCTCTCTGATCCTTACCTGCCTGCCCTCCCCCATCTCTCAGTCTCTCGGACACAGCAGAGCTCAGGTCAGCCAGCTCATACCAATAACCTACCTGGCTACTCACCGCCTTTCCCTCAAAGCCAAGCTCCACTCCGGCTACAAGTAAGCAAAATACCAGTTATACTCACCATCTCCAAGCCCCCTCTGCGCTCCACCATCCTAACACCAGTTACTTCTTTTCTCAGTTCAACCACGAACAGCAGCTCATGGAATGAAATGTGAGTCACAACATTAATGAATATTTAGCCAACCTGTTGCTTTCATAGGTGATGTGTCACTGTGAGCTGTAGGACGGGAAATGGATGATGTGGTGATGATTCTTCATCCGATGTAAAAAGACTGAATCCTTACTAAGTTTAGAGAACATCCTATGAAGCTTGCAGGCTCAGTCTGTCTGCAGGAAGATCTGACCCCAGGTAAATGTCCAGCGCAGCACTTTCAGGCAGAGACTCAGACCTGTGGAGGCCGCTCAGTGAGGACTCGGCAGCATGTGAACACAACCTGAGCTCTTTGACAATTCTGAACAAACCGTGATTATTTTACCACAGAAAGTAGATTCTGTTCAACTGGACATTTTTAGTTGGAGAAACTCATCTAAGTAACTTCTTCAGCCTCAGCTGACTGCAGGTTTCCCCAACCTTCCAACAAAACTGAACATTTGCATAATGACTGAAACTAGCACCGCTGCTGAGCACTTCAGTACTCCAGTGCTACTTCCTGAATGTCCAAATTAGCCACAATGGGTGAAACTGGGGAACCCATGGCACACCGATTTTTTGCGCCTGTAGTACTGAGCCTTGTATATGAAATGTGAAATAAAGACAGTTCAAAGAGCAAACACTGTTTATAAGGTTGGAAACCTGCTGTTAATGAGGAGGTTCAAAGGAAGGTGGAGGTTGTTATCACCGTGGCCTCATGCGGTCAGGATGTGAATAAAACAGCCACCAATCTATTGAAGTTATCTCGGTTTATTGAACTGTAATCAGCAGCTCAGTTTCAGTTTTATTTGTCATATGCAAGTTAGCACAGGGTCATCATCGCAATGAAATGTATTTTTTAACGAGCAGAAGACAGTCACTCAGCAGAATGGTACAGTAGAAGAAAATAAAATAATAAAAAATAAATAGAAAAATAGTAAAGAGCAAAATATTAATAAGATGTAGTAAAAGAAAAAAGATTTTCAGTTAACTGACTAAATATATGTATGTATGTGTATATATAAATATATGTACACACTAGTGATTGAATAAAGAAAATCTTAAATAGGAATGTGAGGGGGGGTAGAGGGGATATTGCACAGGAATGAGCAGCAGTACAAACTGAACAGTACAAAGGTTTTGTTTTTTGTGGCCGTTGTTAGCGTCAAATGAGGTTCAAGCAAGAGTCTCTCTTATGCTGGGGCTAGACACATGTAGCTGATCACAGATCATTTCTTCTGTCCTGTCATCAAACTCACATTTAGAAGCAACTCAGTTCAGAGATATCAGCAACAACATTCACCTTGGCTGAAAAGTGTTGTTCAGTAACAGCAGAGGCGAAAGTATCACCTGTATTTGGCAGTGAGTAGAAAATCCTTTGTCCCTCTGTTCCCAAGCAGTGAAGTAAAGTAGCTCTTCGTGCTTCAGGCCAAGCATTCCCTGTTGCATTGATCACAAGCAAATAATTGTTGAACATACGCATCCACATGTTGAAGGGCAAAGCAGGATCTCCAGGGCAAGGCAAAAACATCGGCGGTGGATGGACGTTTGCAGCCACGATGACTCAGCAAAAAACTAAGCAGAAAAACCACGCAGGGTTACTCGCTGCCAAAATGTAGCAGCGGCCGGTAATGAACCAGTCCTCATCAAGGAATAGTGCTCTTTAATGATTTCAGCACAGACTTTACATCATAGGGAGACGCATCAAGTTATCAGTTAGCCATCTTAACTATATTCTAAAATTTTACCAACTCCACTTTACTCTTATTTCACGACACCACCCACTAGTGGTGCAATATGGTACAGTCATTACAGGACACAACACAGGTGGACATGATCAAGCTAATGAAGTTTTATATTGTGGTTGGAGACCAGAGACGGGAGAGCGCCAGACAGCTGGTGGACGTATGTGCCGAACCAGGGGAACAGTGTATCGGGTCACGGTCCTTTCTACAGTTACCTTTCATAGCCATTCTAACCCTTTTGTGTCAAGTTCTGTGTATGTCATCAGGCCCACTCACCAGGTATGTAAACTTTTGATCAGGATCATTTGGGTAATTTGTGTAGTGATCGTGATTTAAAGAGTAAACACAGTTGTTTGACAATAAACGTCTTCAGCCAACCACTAACCATGAGTGAAAGAAAAACTTGTCTGAAAAATGGTTAAGAAATCATGAATTCTGCCAGGATATGCACAACAGTACAGCGTTTTAATCATCTTTGGAACAGACTCCAGTTTCAGTTCACCTTTATGTGTTATACATACCGTATTTTTTGGATTATAAGGCACTTTAAGCGAAACAAAACAGTCAGATGAGTCAAACTTTACTTAGCTCATTCTTCTTGCTTCCTCCACTTCTGTACCATTGATTCATCAATGCTGTATTCTATCACAGCTGCTCTATTCCCATGTTGTTGCAGTATATTAATGACTAACCTCGTACTGTGGATGGATTATCTCAGTTGTTCTCCTGACTGAAGTTTGGTCCGTTTACAGCATCCTGCCATGCGATTGCATTTGTCTCCAACCATGAGGAACCTTCACGTTAACTTTTATGGAGTGGAAAAGTGTTAGCGTTCGTCCTCCAGCTTCACTGTGTTTATGTTATGCTAACATAGCTGTGTCGCTAGCGATCACGTAGCGCATCATTATATACCAGCTAGCCCAACTTCAGTAACCCTACAAACGTCACTGCTGTTTAGTTTCCTGTCTTCATTTATGTTGGAAGTGATAGCAGAGCTGTACGTTTGAATTTATTCAGAAATCTCTCAGTCAGAACATGCTATATCATGCTTAGATGGAAGCTAGCGAGCTAACTCCCGGCTAACTTTGTTAAATTTAATAAATTCGGTTTTCATGGATGCCTGGATGTTAACATATTGCTGCAAAAAAAACAAGTTTAACTATCGCCTCTAAAGGCTGAAAAGAAACCCCAAAACAAGTGGATGAAATCAAAAAATAAATGAACGCATGAGAAGAAACAACGTGCTCTAAAGAGACCATTACAGACTAAAGCAGGCAGAAAAGGCCAGAGGGATTCTGAGTCTCAAATAAAACAGTGACCACAAACAGGAATACAGCATAAAAGACAGATATTTCTGGAAAACAACCTGTGAGAGTTCTCATGCAGTCTATCAAATTCCTACTCACACTGAAATGTTTTATGAGCCTCTGGCTTCTCAGCTGTGTGAGTTTTCTTGTGACACATCAAGCTACTTTTTTGACTGAAGCTTTTCCCACATGTATCACAGGTATACGGCCTCTCACCTGTGTGAGTTTTCTTGTGAATATACAAAGTACTGCTTCGACTGAAACTTTTCCCACATGTATCACAAGTATACGGCCTCTCCCCTGTGTGAGTTTTCTTGTGAATATACAAATGACTGCTTCGACTGAAACTTTTCCCACATGTATCACAGGTATACGGCCTCTCACCTGTGTGAGTTTTCTTGTGAATATACAAAGTACTGCTTCGACTGAAACTTTTCCCACATGTTTCACACGTAAACAGCTTTTCACCTGTGTGGATTCTCCTGTGAATATACAAACGACTGCTTGAACTGAAACTTTTCCCACATGTATCACAGGGATATGGCCTTTCACCTGTGTGGGTTCTCATGTGAATATACAAATGACTGCTTCGAGTAAAACTTTTCCCACATGTATCACAGGGATATGGCCTCTCACCTGTGTGAGTGATAAGGTGGTATTTCCAGGTACTTCTATCAGTGAAGCTTTTGCCACATGTGTCACAAGCAAACAGTTTTTCACCTGTGTGAGTTTTCTTGTGAATATACAAATTACTGCTTTGACTGAAGCTTTTCCCACATGTATCACAGTGATATGGCTTCTCACCTGTGTGGGTTCTCATGTGGATATACAAAGTACTGCTTCGACTGAAACTTTTCCCACATGTATCACAGGGATATGGCCTCTCACCTGTGTGAGTTCTCATGTGATCATACAAATTACTGCTTCGTCTGAAACTTTTCCCACATGTATCACAGGGATATGGCCTCTCACCTGTGTGGGTTACAAGGTGACGTTTCCACGTACTTCTAGCTCTAAAACTTTTCCCACATGTATCACAAGGATAGGGTTTCACATCAGTGTTGGGTTTCTTTCTTTGGGCCTGACGCTTGATGGATTTTTGGCAAACATCAGACTCTCTACCTGTGGCAGCATTGCAGGGACTCTCTGACACAGTCCAGCTCTCCACATCATCCTGACGTCTGTCTCGCTTCTTCCTCTTCTTTGGCACTGAGGTCACAGTTTCACTTAACCCTGACTCTTCACACTTGCTGGATTCTTCATCTGTGCTTTCACTTTGAGGAGAGTCATCACAGAGGAGCTGCTCCCCGTCTCCTCCTGGTTCACTGTGCTCTCCTTCCTCAGCAGCAGTCACCATAAAGGTACCAGGCTCCTCCTTCAGTCCCAGCTGCTCTCCCTCCTGACTGCTGCACAGTTCCTCCTCTTCCTCTTTAATCTGTGGAGCTTCTGGTTCCTCCTGCTCCACACTGGAGCTCCTCTCCTGGTTCCAGAGCTGCTGCTCAGGGAGAACCTCCTCCTCCTCCTCACAGACCTCCTGCTGTGGGACGTCTGGAGCGACAGAAGAAAGAAGTTACTGATGCAACCGCAGAAACATTAACAGGACTTTACAGCATGACTGCATCACTCATGAATGTGGACAGGCACCTGAGTTCACCTGTTTTGTGGTTTAAAAGCCACAAAGACGCTGTGTTTAGAGAAAATGGGTCTCAATTGTTCCCATACTGCTGACACATACGGGATCACTGAGGGTTTTTTCTTCTCCAGCTTTGACAAAAGTCCAGCTGGGATAACCACATTTACTCAGGGTCAGCTTTTAGATGTCCCCCATTACTGATGGAAATCTCACAGTCCAAGAAGGCTAACCTGCCACTTTTCATATCCTCCCTGGTGAATCTGATGTGTCGGTCCAGCGAGTTAATGTGATCCGTGAATTGTGGTACGTCCTGAGATTTGATTTTCACAAAGGTGTCACCTTCGTCTGGCACAAACGATTATTCTGATAGTTGGCTAGTCACCGATTATTTTTGCGATTAGTCGACTAATCAGATCATGCATCCACCAGCATGTGTCTCCTCTTATATAACTATCATTAGCTTACAGCTTGAAGTGTTTAAGATATGTGCTAACTAAAAATAAAGACAAGATGATACTCTATTAACCTTTTAATAACATTTGCAGATTGTCTCGGTGCAGTTTAGTAAACTCAGCCGTCTGCTCCTTGCTATCTAAAATATAACAGGACACCGGAGTAAATTCTCGAGCACTTCTCACACTTCTGTTTAATCAGTTTTCTGCTTGACGTTTATTCAGCTGTGTGAAAAGTAGAGATGGCACGATACCACTTTTATGCCTGATACTGACATAGTGTATTTAAGCAATAAAACAGTTTTTTTAATATCTTGCTGCATTTTGCACAAGTTCATACTCAAGTTTAACACAAACAAACTAAACAACACTGAAGCTATTCTGTTACACTTGTATGCAAAAAATGCACTGCAGCCAAAATATTTCATAGTTCAGCAAAACTGATCAATCAAATAAACTTAAACCTGCTCCATCCTCCCTACTCTGGTGTTTTAAAGAGTACTTAGCAGAAATATTAAGCAACCTAACTAACAGGGTTGCAAACTCCCAGCAAAAGAAAAAAAAAAATGCACAGAAATAAATTTTTCAAGAATAATTAAATAGATTCAACATCTTTCTTCTACAGAGCTGCAGACTGCACAGATGGTTCCCAAAGGAAAAAGTACTATAGCTTACTAGGGTATATTAGACTTAACAGTCACTATATACAGTAATGGACTTCATTACATTTTACATCAAATTAAAACTTTGGTTGTAAGATTCAGATAATTATTTATTAAAAGCTCGACATTTTAAATGAGAATAAGAAAGAAAAGTATGTCTTTGTGCCCCCTTTTCCCTGTTAATGCCCTATTGGCCCCCCTGGCTAAACTTTGCTAGATCCGCCCCTGCACAGTTACCAGCGTCAGCTGTAGAAAAAGATCCTGGTGTGCAAAGTGTTATGGAATAAACATATATTCTTAGTGCTTATTTTCTAATTATATTGTTTTATTTACTTTAATAATGAAGGCTTGTAAAGCAAGGCCACTTTTGACTCACAAACTAAGTGTTCAGCCAGACTGAAAAACAGGAAGTTAGTGTGCAGCTGTACAAGTATATTAATAAATACAGGAAACTAGACAGAAAAAGAGGAACTACTAACATATAAGGATTTGTTTGTGTTGAAACTGTGTGTGACGTGTAAAGTACCAAAATAACACCTATATGAGACATGTTTAGCCTGTAATGTTAGAGATTCTGCAGCTGGCTTTGGGCTGTGCAGGGAAGATGATTGGATAAAGAATTATAAATGTTTTGACCACTCTGAGTCGGGTCTTCTCTGTTCTGTCATGGGGATCAAAGAATCGGGTTTAATATTAAATAAATTCTAACAACAGCTGATCAAGCTTAAACGTGCTGCTGTTGTTCAGCCGCTGGTTTCCTCTTTCTGGTGCAAAGTGGGTCAAAAACAAACAAGAGAGACGATCAGCTGATCATTGATCAGTTTCATGATTGAAGTAGCAGCAAGAAGAGGCACCATATATCGGTTGTTAAGCTTAAGGCTGGAATGCTTTACAAACATTCAGAGATGGACTTACACACTTGCTTTACTTCTCTCTGGGATCACTCTGTCAGAGATGAAATGCTGGTTTGGTAGCGAGGCTACAAATGTTCAAACAGACCGGCGACAGGTCTCGCACGCCACAGCCGCTCTATCACGTGATGCACACTGCTCCGATGTCCTAAGATTATGAGCCGAGTTACGCCGTGTCGCAAGTTTTGTGAGGTGCTTTTGTGATATTTAATGGATCGATTACATTTTTTATTTCTCTCCGATATCCGATCCAGTAATTTAGGTCAGTATCTAACCGATACTGATACGTAATATCGGATCGGTCCATCTCTAGTGAAAACTTTAACTTTAATCTCAGCCAAACCGATTTACTCAGGAACAAATAAAACACTGAAAAAAGCCAAACAATAACATTTTTAAGTTATCTCAGTGACTCATATCATGTTTAACCTGAGTAGCGAAAGCTGGTGGTGGGTTTGAAAACGATTTGCCGGGAGTCCGGTGTTCTCACGGCTCTAGTGAGCCTAGCCCCCGGCTAGCTATCGAGCTAGTGGGTAACAGACGTCTCCGAAAACGTCGGAGCGCTTTTGAAAATATGTGGTGTCCTGATAAACTGAGCAGATATTTGAGGTTTACACAGCTACATTCTCGCCTGAAAATATGTTAAACGTTTATTTTGTGACCCAGAAAGAATAATAAGAGTAATATTAACACTGGGGCCACGCTATGAAATCTGGGATTGGTTGGGCCACGAAGGATACACCTGCCCCATCTGTCAAATCTGGGGAAGGACGCCTTTGTCGGCCGCATTAGGAGAAGTCTTCGTCGCGTCGTAGCGTAATCGGTCTACAATTGCAGCCTCCGAAGGATTCGGCCCTTAAATTTGGACACAGCTACAATACCGGACACAGCTTCTTCTTCTTCGGGGTTTAACGGCAGCTGGCATCCTTGTACATGCAGTGCTGCCATCTTCTGTTTCAGTCCGTTATTACACTCTTAAATCCTGCTACTTATTCCTGCGTCTTTCAGGATTTTACAAAGCTTCAAACGACGCGTCGAAAATTAAATTAATGGTCAACGATTTTGATAGTCGACTAATCGTGGCAGCCCGAGCTTCATTCACATACCTGAACCAACGACTTGGTGGTTTTCCAGGGTACGATAACAGAGCCCTGTTTTCCACTTCCTTCATGTATAAATTGGCCACACAGAGTGAAAGTCGGGCTACATTGCACACCCACGCTTCAATTCAAGGACACGCTCACGGAACAGGCCTAGCTTCCTTGGTTCTTTTGTTAGAGATCGATCGATCAATATTCCAAGCTGTATAGGCTCGAAAGCTTACTACCAATTAAGCATATTAGGTGATGTGCATCTCTGTAATGAGAAGGGGTGTGGTCTAATGACATCAACACCCTATATCAGGTGTGCATAATTATTAGGCAACGTCCTTTCCTTTGGCAAAATGGGTCAAAAGAAGGACTTGACAGGCTCAGAAAAGTCAAAAATAGTGAGATATCTTGCAGAGGGATGCAGCAGTCTCAAAATTGCAAAGCTTCTGAAGCGTGATCATCGAACAATCGAGCGTTTCATTCAAAATAGTCAACAGGGTCGCAAGAAGCGTGTGGAAAAACCAAGGCGCAAAATAACTGCCCATGAACTGAGAAAAGTCAAGCGTGCAGCTGCCAAGATGCCACTTGCCACCAGTTTGGCCATATTTCAGAGCTGCAACATCACTGGAGTGCCCAAAAGCACAAGGTGTGCAATACTCAGAGACATGGCCAAGGTAAGAAAGGCTGAAAGACGACCACCACTGAACAAGACACACAAGCTGAAACGTCAAGACTGGGCCAAGAAATATCTCAAGACTGGTTTTTCTAAGGTTTTATGGACTGATGAAATGAGAGTGAGTCTTGATGGGCCAGATGGATGGGCCCGTGGCTGGATTGGTAAAGGGCAGAGAGCTCCAGTCCCACTCAGACGCCAGCAAGGTGGAGGTGGAGTACTGGTTTGGGCTGGTATCATCAAAGATGAGCTTGTGGGGCCTTTTCGGGTTGAGGATGGAGTCAAGCTCAACTCCCAGTCCTACTGCCAGTTTCTGGAAGACACCTTCTTCAAGCAGTGGTACAGGAAGAAGTCTGCATCCTTCAAGAAAAACATGATTTTCATGCAGGACAATGCTCCATCACACGCGTCCAAGTACTCCACAGCGTGGCTGGCAAGAAAGGGTATAAAAGAAGAAAAACTAATGACATGGCCTCCTTGTTCACCTGATCTGAACCCCATTGAGAACCTATGGTCCATCATCAAATGTGAGATTTACAAGGAGGGAAAACAGTACACCTCTCTGAACAGTGTCTGGGAGGCTGTGGTTGCTGCTGCACGCAATGTTGATGGTGAACAGATCAAAACACTGACAGAATCCATGGATGGCAGGCTTTTGAGTGTCCTTGCAAAGAAAGGTGGCTATATTGGTCGCTGATTTGTTTTTGTTTGGTTTTTGAATGTCAGAAATGTTTATTTGTGAATGTGGAGATGTTATATTGGTTTCACTGGTAAAAAGAAATAATTGAAATGGGTATATATTTGTTTTTTGTTAAGTTGCCTAATAATTATGCACAGTAATAGTCACCTGCACACACAGATATCCCCCTAAAATAGCTAAAACTAAAAACAAACTAAAAACTACTTCCACAAACATTCAGCTTTGATATTAATGAGTTTTTTGGGTTCATTGAGAACATGGTTGTTGTTCAATAATAACATTATTCCTCAGAAATACAACTTGCCTAATAATTCTGCACTCCCTGTATATAGGGGGTGTATGAGAGTCTTTGTGAGTCTTTCACACACATATTAAACAAATATGTAAGACTGCTTTCTTCCATTTGTGCAACATCTCTAAAGTTAGAAATATCCTGTCTCAGAGTGACGCTGAAAAACTAGTTCATGCATTTATTACTTCCAGGCTGGACGACTGTAATTCATTATTAGATTTCAAGATTCAAGACGTAGGCTGCCGGGGATTCCCATGATGCATTGAGTTTTTCCTTTCCAGTCACCTTTCTCACTCACTATGTGTTAACAGACCTCTCTGCATTGAATCATATCTGTTATTAACCTCTGTCTCTCTTCCACAGCATGTCTTTATCCTGTCTTCCTTCTCTCACCCCAACCAATCACAGCAGATGGCCGCCCCTCCCTGAGCCTGGTTCTGCCGGAGGTTTCTTCCTGTTAAAAGGGAGTTTTTCCTTCCCACTGTCGCCAAAGTGCTTGCTCATAGGGGGTCATATGATTGTTGGGTTTTTCCTCTGTATGTGTTATTGTAGCGTCTACATTACAATATAAAACACCTTGAGGCGACTGTTGTTGTGATTTGGCGCTGTGGAAATAAAACTGAATTGAATTGAAGTGTGAGAGGAAAACCCCAACCCTGCCTCACAGCAGCGTCCTCGGGTGAGTTTAAAGCTGAATGTTTGTTTAAACAGAGACACATCCACCTTCTGTCCTCCAGAAACATCCCTGCAGCCTCAAAGTAAACGTCCCGCAGAGCTGTGATCAGGATGCTCCCTCAGAGGGACACTCACCTGTCCTGTGCAGCTTGATTTGGGGTTTCCAGGTGATATCCAGCAGTCTGCGCTGACGCTCCATCTCTTCCTCGTACTGCACAGGATCATTATGAACTTCAGGCTCCTCCTTCAGTCCCAGCTGCTCTCCCTGCTGACTGCTGCACAGTTCCTCCTGTTCCTCTTTAATCTGTGGAGCTTCTGGTTCCTCCTGCTCCACACTGGAGCTCCTCTCCTGGTTCCAGAGCTGCTGCTCAGGGAGAACCTCCTCCTCCTCACAGACCTGCTGCTGTGGGACGTCTGGAGGACAGAAGAAAGAAGTCACAACCACAGAAACATTAACAGGACTTTACAGCATGACTGCGTCGCTCGTGTGTGAGAGTAAAGCCGTCCAGTCAGCTGTAAGTCACTGATCTCAGATCTGCATTTATTCAGACGAACATCTGGAAGGTAAAGCCCCCTCAGCACAGCAGCAGCACCGCACTGCCACTACAGTTCATAAATTCAATATTAGGTGTCACTGTGCCGAGCTGCACATTAAACTCTGTGTCACTTCTTTCAGTCGCGTCCGTGACTCTGAACAACAACATGGTGGACTTTGTTGTTCTCACACGTGTGTAAATGTGACCACAGGAACCGTGCACGTGCTGTGTACCACTTTAGCTTTTATGTGACATCATCACAAAGGGCCCGGGCGACCACTCTGACGTCACTGATGGAGAAATAAAAAAGACGTATTGTTATGACGTTAACACTGAACTCTTTACAGCTCTGCAGAAGAAGAAAGGAAACCAAGGAAAAACCTTTTCAGGCTAGATTACTGAGTTTAGAAGGTGCACCTGAACGCACCATCAAACACACGTTTCACCGCCAAACAAAAAGTTTTTCAAACGATTCACAGGATTGAGTGATGGATCCAGGTCAGAGAAAAGCTCAAATCCAGGCTGATTTCAGCGCCTGCTGTTTGAATGCAGCGCAGCGCAGTCCTGTCCTCTGTTTGCTCTTTGTTAGCTCACATCAAAAAGTCCTCACAATCAGAAACGTCCCGCAGAGCTGTGATCAGGATCCTCCCTCAGAGGGACACTCACCTGTCCTGTGCAGCTTGATTTGGGGTTTCCAGGTGATATCCAGCAGTCTGCGCTGACGGTCGATCTCTTCCTCGTACTGGACGATCGTTTTTTCAAACTCCAAGAATATTTGTTCAGCAGCAGCAGTTAGTCGCTCGTTGATGAACTCTCTCAGATACTGAACTGAAGGCATCGTTGCTGCCGCGGCTCACACACAGCACAAAGCCTCCAAAAGTTCACGCTGGAACAACCAAACTGCCGCTTTTAAAAATGTTTACTTCCGCCGGATGTCCCGCTCTGAAGTTCCGGCAGGAGGAGGATGTTCAAATACTTTGTTCCGCTTGGAATAAACGTCCTTCTTTCTTCCTAAAACCTATTTAAATGTACCAAACTGAGCCATAAATACATAAACAGCGTGTTACAAATAATAAAGGAGAGAAAATGGAAAGAAAAGGCCTCGTTCAGGTTTTTATCCATAATGAATCATATCCATTCTACTACTGATCATTCATATACTCAACACCAAAGAGTCTGACGTGAATGAATACTAACACACGGCTTTATTTTATTGTTTGATGTGGGTCTAAAATAAATGAGGAATTACACACGCTGTTCATTAAATGTGTTTGTGGCGTGCTCAGAGTCTTCATTGGTGGAAATCAGATCAAACTTCAGGATCTTCGACGTATTACTGCTGTGTGATTTTTATTACTATTAATGAAATGGATGAAAAGCTGACCCTGAGTAAATGTGGTTATCCCAGCTGGACTTTTGTCAAAGCTGGAGAAGAAAAAACCCTCAGTGATCCCGTATGTGTCAGCAGTATGGGAACAATTGAGACCCATTTTCTCTAAACACAGCGTCTTTGTGGCTTTTAAACCACAAAACAGGTGAACTCAGGTGCCTGTCCACATTCATGAGTGATGCAGTCATGCTGTAAAGTCCTGTTAATGTTTCTGCGGTTGCATCAGTAACTTCTTTCTTCTGTCGCTCCAGACGTCCCACAGCAGGAGGTCTGTGAGGAGGAGGAGGAGGTTCTCCCTGAGCAGCAGCTCTGGAACCAGGAGAGGAGCTCCAGTGTGGAGCAGGAGGAACCAGAAGCTCCACAGATTAAAGAGGAAGAGGAGGAACTGTGCAGCAGTCAGGAGGGAGAGCAGCTGGGACTGAAGGAGGAGCCTGGTACCTTTATGGTGACTGCTGCTGAGGAAGGAGAGCACAGTGAACCAGGAGGAGACGGGGAGCAGCTCCTCTGTGATGACTCTCCTCAAAGTGAAAGCACAGATGAAGAATCCAGCAAGTGTGAAGAGTCAGGGTTAAGTGAAACTGTGACCTCAGTGCCAAAGAAGAGGGAGAAGCGAGACAGACGTCAGGATGATGTGGAGAGCTGGACTGTGTCAGAGAGTCCCTGCAATGCTGCCACAGGTAGAGAGTCTGATGTTTGCCAAAAATCCATCAAGAGTCAGGCCCAAAGAAAGAAACTTGTTTAAATCCTTCAAAACATGTGGGAAAAGCTTCAGGTTGAAAAAGACCTGGAAACGCCACTTGAGAACTCTCACTGGTGAGAGGCCACATCCTTGTGAAACACTCGAAAAGTGTTTTGGTATACCACAGGAACGTCTGTAACCAGAGGTTTGTTGAACATGAAGGCTTTCAGCGCAAAAGGAATTTGATGGACCACACGAGGACTCTCACAGGTGAGAGGCTGTAGTTGTACCATTGTAATCACACTCTTAGAGATGGAAGACACTGAGCTGGTCCCAAGCCAGCTAAGACATAGAGTCTCTCCATCGTCCAGATGCCTGAGGACCACAGCGAGTGCAGGAGACCTGAGAGCTGCTGAGGGATCTCTGCTACAGAGTCAGTGAGTGATGGCTTAAGATGTTCACTAGGTGACAGACTTGACGTGAGCACAGAATGGAAATGTGGACACCCAGGCTGGGATCTTCAGGGAAAGGTGAGACGAGGCAGCCGTCTATGAGCAGATCTCCAGTCTGCTGAGTGAAACATGCATTCGTGTTGCAAAGCGACACAGTGAAACATGTAGCGCTTGAACTTCAGGTGCGTGGCTCAAGCCGGGACGCAGAAGCTGGAAAACATCCAGGAAACATCCTCTTCATCATAACTGAATCTAATGATCCATCTTTGATCCTGAGAGCCTCTGTGATCCAGGCTGCTCGGCATCCACACAAACCTTTGCAGGACCGAAGGCTTTTGATTATTTCATACAAACTATCACAAACAACAGCTGTGAGCTGCGTGGTGATCATATCAAAGGAAATATTCTGACACCGAGGGCTGGACGTTGGCATCACACGCAGGTACAAAGGAGACCTTTATCTGCTCTCACCTGTGCTGAGCAGACACCTGTCCTACATGCTGATATGAGCCCTGAAAGTTTACCCAGAATGCACTTTGTGTGTGAAGCTTCATGCAGGGAATTATGACAACCAGATCAAACATCCAGGTTCCTGCTCCTCTGCGTCACACAGCCATAGGTCCAACACTCCCACACTCACAGATGTTCAGTCTCTTGGACTGGATGTAAAACTGATCTGAGTTCAGTTTCTAACAGAGCCTGTAACCGTGGGACACACCAAAGAGATTAGGTGTGTTTTAGTTTGGACATAGAGCACAGACCGATCTCTGACAGCTTACCCTCCAAATTATCTGCTTTTTCAACCAAAGGTCTGACACTTTGAATTCAATGCCTAAAAATCTTTATTTGCAAAGTGCTTTTCACAGAAAAAACTAAAATAACATAAATAAAAGTGCCGAAATGTGTGGTTTCCATTAATTTGGTAGTAATTCAACAGAGAGCCCGTTTAAATAATGAAGTTTAAAGCTGTGACTTTTATTGTGAAAGCGCTGACAGGAAGAGGCTGTGTTTCGCCGGTGTGCTTTGACCTCGGAGCTGTTCGGAGCGGCTCGGCTCTGCTCGCTCCACCTTCGTCCCTCCCCTGGCCGGAGCGGAGTGAGATGCGTCCCGGAGCCTGAGGCGTTCGGACGAGTCAGAGCCGGACGCGGAGCTTTCAGGCGGGGAGCCTCCGGAGAGACACCGCGCCGTCTGTCGCACTGAAACCGGGTGTAGGTGCACTGCTGGCGGCTTCGCCTCCAGCTGCCTGCCGCTGAAAGCTGCAGGACTGAGACATGTACCAGGTCCAGGTGAGCTCATACCTGAGATTTTATGTTTCTGGAGGGCTTAAAGAAATGACTCTGTGTTGTTGTCCCCACACCATCATCATCATCATCATCATCATCATCATTCTTATGTCTGCTGAGTTTTCATCTGCATAAATAAAGGATGTAAAAGTCCCTGCATAAAACTGACTGACTGCAGCTTCTGCTGTGACAGATATTTCCGCGTTTTACATTTGCAGATCAGCCTGCTTCCTGTGTTTAGAAAGTGAACATCAGCACTTTTATTGATCACTTTCTTCCATTTTTAATGGAACAGCTTAATGCTGCACCTGACATTATTATAACCTGCGATGTGTTCCTGAATGATCTGGACCTCTGATGTTTTCTCTTTGCTCCATAAGATCTGAGAACAGAATCCACGGTTATTCACTGCTCCACAGAAAACATCGTCTTCCTTCGTTTGTTAAACGTCTCAAAGCGTTCAGGTTTAATATGAACGTTACATATGAGATTACAGCTTCACAGCTGAAATATGAAACTGACCTCAGTCCCAGAGTTGAACCTGTCAGGGTGTGAAAGTTTCTTTAGTGTTCTATTAAGATTAAAAAGAGTCCTGTAAACCATCGCTGTGACTAATCAGGCAAAGTTCAGCTGCTGACGACCGCCTCCGTCATTCTTCTAACCTGGTGAAGCTTTTCGTCGTGTAGCGTGTCTAAATGTCGTTTTAGTGGAGTCACTGTTGTGAGCAGCAGAGGAGGCATGAGACCTGTGTTTGTGTTTGTTGTCACTGGATCAGCATCAGGAGCACACCAGGCTGGAGTGTTTTTGATCCACTCAGCAGCAAACAGAAGTGAAGTCCTGACCTTCCTCTTTGTGTCATCATAAAAACTCCAGCAGCGACTGTCAGAGACATTTCAGGCTGTGGTGCTTTAACAGCACTGACCGGGTTCTCCATGTTCCTGTGTGGGTTCTCTCTGGGTTCCTCCTAACAACACAAAGGCAGATTAAGTGTTTGGATGTTAGGTTATCTGTTCAGCTGGGAGAGGATCCAGCCACCCTGAACCGGATAAAAAGAAGAAGATGAACGGATGGATGGATGGATATTTGGTTGGTTGGATGGATGGATGCATGGATGGATGGTTGGTTGGTTGAACAGATGGATGGACAGATGGATGGACGGTAGAGCAGGGCGATATGGCCAAAAATATTTATCACGATATATATTTGAAAATTTGCGATAACGATATAACTGACGATATAATTGATGCGAGACAAAATACAACTCCACAACATTACTAGCGCAAAAAGACAACCTTCCATTTATTTTCACTTAAACAAGAAGCTGGTTTTTATGTACATTAAAGCTTTATAAAACTGTAACAGTGCAAATGCAAATTCCTTGCTGAAAGTTAAACCAAAAGGCATTTCCAGTAGAAATGGGCTGACATATCCTGAGCATAACCATGTTTAATATCCACTGAAGTTAAAAAGAGGTGCTTTGCAACATTAACCTGCAGTGTGCCAAATAAAAAAGTCAAATATGTATTTTTCGGACCATAAGGTGCACGGGATTATAAGGCACATTAAGCGAAACAAAGCAGTCAGATAAATCAAACTTTATTAAACTCATTCTTCTTGCTTCCTCCACTTCTGTACCATTGATTCATTAATGTTGAATTCTCTGGCAGCTGCTCTATTCCCATGTTGTTGCAGTATATTAATGACTAACCTCGTATTGTGGATGGATTATCTCAGTTGTTCTGACTGAAGTTTGGTCCGTTTACAGCATCCTGCCATGCGATTGCATTTGTCTCCAACCATGAGGAACCTTCACGTTAACTTTTATGGAGTGGAAAAAGTGTTAGTGTTCATCCTCCAGCTTCACTGTTTATGTTATGCTAACATAGCTGCGTCGCTAGCGATCACGTAGCACATCATTATATACCAGCTAGCCCAACTTCAGTAACCCTACAAACGTCACTGCTGTTTAGTTTCCTGTCTTCATTTATGTTGGACGTGATAGCAGAGCTGTACGTTTGAATGCTTCAGAAATCTCTCAGTCAGAACATGCTATATCAGGCTACATTTCACTGTGTGTTATACTTGTATAACTATGCATGTGACAAATAAAGAACCTTGAACCTTAGGTAACTAGCGAAACTAGCGAGCTAACTTCCGCTAGCTTCCTGCTAACTTCTAACTCCGTTAAATGTAATAAATTTTGTTTTCATGGATGCCTGGAAGTTAAACTTCATAGTTACACCTGGTAAAGCAGCAATGCTGATCGTTTTATTAAAGATGAAGGAATTTAGACAGTTTTTAACTCTCAGTGATGCTGCAGTGTTGTTTGACCTGAACGATACGGAGTTTAGGACCCAGATTACTCCCAGCTTTAAGAGCATCTTAGTCCGACAAATACGACAATAACCACGGCCGCTTGCATGTTCTGCAAAAAAAATGTGCTTTGTTGTGTATCTGACGGACAAACACCAAACCAGTTCCACATCACGGAAGTTGCACCATTTTTACAAACCAATTGTGGTTCATCTGTTTCACTCAACAATCGGCCATGTGCGTATGAAAACAAAGGCACTGCGCATGCGCGTTTTACTCATATTCTATCGCGATATTTCATTTTCCTATCGTTGCCTAACATTATACCGGTATTACCGTGAACGGTATAATATGGCCCAGCCCTAGTGGACGGTTGGTTGGTTGAACAGATGGCTGGATTAGAGCTGGGCGATATATCGAGTTTTTAAAAAATATCGATATATTTTTATACGAGATATAAGATGTGACAATATCCTTTATATCGATATAGTCTATGTTACATTATAATTATACTTGTGGAGCCGCAAGTTTGCCTCTCTTTCGTCCACTTTCGTCTTTACGCAACGTTACTCGGCCTCGCCTCTCCTTCACTGAACACAACTCCCCCTCCTCCCCCATCGCTTCACCTGCAGGAAGCGACAAGATGGACACGGCAAATCTCCATTAACGAGTTACTGCGCATCGCCCCGTGCGTGGGGCTGGACGGCGTCAACGTGTTAGCTAGCTAACCACGCTAACGAGCTAACCACGCTAACGCCATGCAGCCCAGAGGTGCTGCACGGACTAAAATCCTTTCATTTTCTCAAAAGTTGACAGCGCGCCTTATGTATGAATTCTGGTTGTGCTTGATGGCCGCGAACCGATTTTATGTGGAACACGGCGCTCAGCAATCTGTCAACAAATGTTTTATTACGACTTTGGTAAGCTACGGAGCTGCACCGCTTGATGGACTGTCAGAGCATTACGGCTGAGCCTCGCGGAGTGATACGTACTGTGCTTCAACGTAATATTACCTTACTGTGTATAAGGACCATAAATGGCACCAAGAGACGTGGTTGTGAAGCGGATTACAAACTCCAGGCTGTCAGTCACGCAGTACAAGTTGGGAACAGAGCAGCTGTGAAATCTGTCTTTGTTATTGTGCTCGTCTTTTAGTTTACATTTTGACTGCACAATTGTGAGCTTTTTGTTATGCACAAAAACAACATTGTTTTCTTTTATTTATGGAGCATTATTATTTAATAAATGCTCATAATTTATTTTTGAGTAAATTTTATGTACATCTGCTCTATGTTAATAAAAGTGCCTGTGTGACATCTGGGACACAGCTTTGACTAAGAACTCTCTTTTTGTTCTTACTTTATGGCTTTAAAAAAATATATCGAGATATATATCTTATATCGCCATCCAGCTAAAAAATATCGAGATATGAATTTTGGGTCATATCGCCCAGCCCTAGGCTGGATGGATGGTTGGTTGAATGGATGGATGGATGGATGGATGAATGGTCGGATGGATAGGTGAAAGGTTGGATGGATGATCGGTTGGATGAATTGATGGATCGTTGGATGGACGGTTGGTTGGATGGATGGACGGTAGGATAGATGGTTGGTTGAATGGATGAATGGATGGATGGATAGTTGGATGGACGAACAGATGGATGGATGGTTGGTTGAACAGATGGATGGATAGATGGTTGGTTGAATGGATGAATGGATGGATAGATGGATGACCGGTTGGATGAATTGATGGACGGTTGGATGGATGGACGGTTGGATAGATGGTTGGTTGAATGGATGGATGGATAGATGGACAGATGGATGGATGGATGGATAGTTGGATGGATGACCAGATGGATGGACGGACAGATGGATGGATGGTTGGTTGAATGGATGGATTAACGGTTGGATGGATGGACAGATGGATGGATGGATGGTTGGATAGATGGTTGGTTGAATGGATGAATGGATAGATGGATGAATGGATGGATGGATAGTTGGATGGATGACCAGATGGATGGACGGACAGATGGATGGATGGTTGGTTGAATGGATGAATGGATGGATGGATGGATGGATGGATGGATAGATGGATGAACGGTTGGATGGATGGACAGATGGATGGATGGATAGGTGAAAGATTGGATGGATGACCGGTTGGATGAATTGATGGACGGTTGGATGGATGGACAGATGGATGGATGTACGGTTGGATAGATGGTTGGTTGAATGGATGAATGGATGGATGGATAGATGGACAGATGGACAGATGGATGGACGGTTGGATGGATGGATGGATGGATGGATGGATGGATAGTTGGATGGATGACCAGATGGATGGTTGGTTGAATGGATGAATGGATGGATGGATGGATGGATGGATGGACAGATGGATGGACGGTTGGATGGATGGATGGATGGATGGATGGATAGTTGGATGGATGACCAGATGGATGGATGGTTGGATGGATGGATGGATGGATGGATGGATGGATGGATGGATGGATGGATGGATAGATGGATGAACGGTTGGATGGGTGGACGAACAGTTGGATGGGTGGACAGATGGATGGATGGATGGATGGATGGATGGATGGATAGATGGATGAACGGTTGGATGGGTGGACAGATGGATGGATGGATGGATGGATAGGTGAACGGTTGGATGGATGACCGGTTGGATGAATTGAT